ATACTCAACAAAAGCAGGGCTGGACATTAATACCAAAAGACACACCAACAATCTAACTCCAGACACCAGGCACCACCATAAAAACATGAACAACATGGAAAATTAAGACAGTGTGCCTCTTCCAAAAGTTATTAAGAGACTGTAATGGTCCCTGCTTCAATAAGGAAAAATATTGAAGACAGCTCAAACTGTAATAAAAAAATGAAATGACGTATTCAGTAAACCAATAAAAAGATCAAAGCCTCACAGATAGAATGAATCAAGTAATACAGCATATATAATATCAGAACTTGAAGACAAAACAAAGGAATTGGATCACTTAGTCCAAGAAAATAAGATGTTAAAACTCATTTTAATGGAACATGCAAGACCTTTGGGACACTATGAAAAGTCTAAAACTATGACTTATTGACATAGGAGAAGAAATTCAGGTCAAAGGAAAATAAAATACTTTCAATAAAATCATAGAATTTTCCTACATCTTAGGAAAGAAAGGCCCATTGGAGTGTAAAATCACACAAAACATAGTAGAAAGGAGCAGAAAACAAATTCCCTATGTCATGTAATAATCAAAACACTAAGTGTACAGAACAAATCAAGGATATTGGATAATAAAGATCAGATCTAAAATTAGTAAAATAAAAATGAAAAAATACACACAAAAATAAATAAAATGAAGATAGTTCTTTGAAAACATAAACAAGATTGACAAACCTTTAGTCAAAATAATCAAAAGAAGTAGGATAAAGTCCCAAATTAATAAAATCAGAGTGAAAAGAGAGACATTAAAATAAATATCAACGGGATTCAGAAAATCATGAGGACATACAGTAAAAATCTATATTCCACTAAATTAGAAAAACTAAAAGAAATAGATGACTCTCTAAATAAATATGACTAAAATTAAACAGATAAATATTAAGAGACTTACATACAGTGAAATTGAAGTAATAATTAAAACTCTCCCAACTAAAAAGAAGTCTAAGACAAGATGGATTCACTTCAGAATTCTACCAAACATTTAAAGAAGAATTAATTGCCAATCCTAAGCAAATTATTCCACAAAATAGAAAAACAAAAGGAAGGCTTCTAAATTCTTTTTATGAAGCTAATATCACCCTGACACAAACCCAGATAAAAACACAACCAGAAGAAAAATTACAGACCAATCTCCTCATTTAGAAGCAAAAATTCTTTATAAACATTTAAAACAGATTCAAGATCATATCAAAAAGCTCATTCATTATGACCAAACTGGTTGCATCCTAGGGGTATGGGGATAATTTAATATAACTATCCACCAATAAATGAAATTCATTGCATAAATGGACTGAGAAATGGAAATCACATGATCATCTCAATACATGCAGAAAGGACTTTGGCAAAATTCAGTATTCCTTTCAGCAGGATACAAAGCCAGTAGGCTTCCTTTATACCAATAAAAAACATAATGAAAAAGAGAACACGGAGACAATCTCATCCACAATATACAAACAGGCAGACAGACAGAAACACACACATAAATAATAATATTAATTAAATTAATTCAAAGAAACTTGGGAATAAACCTACCCAAAGAAATGAAAGACCTCTATAACAAAAGCTTTAAAACATTCAAGAGAGAAACTGAGGAAGACACCTCCCTGGTTCCTGGACAGGAAGAATTAATCTTGTGAAAATGGCTGTCTTACTAAAATCAATCTACAAATCCAGTGCATTCTTGATCCAAATTCCAGGTCAATTCTTCATAGACATAGAAAAAATAATCTTAAAATGTATATGGAAAGACAAAAGACCAAGAATGACCAAAGCAATCCTGAACATATTGACTGCAGCAGATGTCACCACACATACTGGCCACAAGCAGATACACAGACCAATGAGATGGAATAGAGAACCCAGATGTAACTACATACAACTACACTTATTTGATGTTTGACAAAGATACCAGGAATATATATTGAAGAAAAAAAACTGCCTTGGACAAATGGTCCCGGGAAAAACGCTTACCAACATGTAGAAAAATAAAATCAGAACTTTCTCTCTTATCCTGCCCAAAACTGAATTCAAAATGGATCAAGGATCTCAATTTAAGACTGCATACTTCAGAACTGCTAAAAGACAAAGAAAGTACATTTCCACATACAGACACAGGCAAGACCTTTCTGAACAGGATGCCAACAGTGCAAGAAATACAGCCCATGACTTAGAAATGGAATCTCATGAAACAAACAGACAATAACAACAACAACAAATCTCAGTATAACAAGAGAAACCACCAATCAACTGAAGGAGCAGCATACAGAATTATAGAAAAACTGGCCAGTATACTTCTCACAGAAGTTGGATATCTAGAATATACAACTAAAAATATGATCAAGAGAATAACCTCATCAAAATATGGGCCATTAGTTAAGCAGCGAATTCACAAAAGAGGTAATATAAATGGCATCATTATGAGCCATCAGGACAATGGAAATTTGAACTTCTTTGAGATCCCATCTCACTCTTGTCAGAATGACTATCATCACTAAAACAAATGACAACAAATGCTTGCAAGGATGTGGAGAAAGAGGAACCTCGTAGGCACTGTTAATAGGCGTGTAAACTGGTGCAGCCACTACTGATAGAGTATGGATGGTCCTCCAAACACTAGAAACAGAGCATCTATTTGTCCCAACTTTATCTGCTGGGCATACTCTAAAGGGATTGTATCATGGTCAGCCATGTTCATTGCTGTTGTATTTATAATAGCTAGGGAATGGAATCAGCCTAGCTGTCCATCAACTGATGGATGGATAATGAAAATTATAAATATATTCATCTGTAAAGAGAAATAAAGTTATGAAATTTATAAGTAAACAGATGAAGTTAGAAAAAAAATTACACTGAGCAAGGTAGCCCAGATTCAAAAAGACAAGTACCACATGTTCTCTCAGATGTGGACCCTAGCTTCAAATCTTTAGGCTTTTCTGTTTAGCTTGGAGAAGTATAGAAACCAAGAGAGGGTTACTGGGCTGAAGCATGACTTAAAGGAGTGAGGCTGGCAGAATATAACAATATGAGAACTGAGAGGGTGAAGGCTGAGGTCAGAAAATGTAAACAGGGATGAGGCAGAGGGGTGGGAAAGATGAGGGAGTAGGAAGACACGTTTAATCCAAACTAAGAATGTATGAAGAGTCACATGGAAAGTTACTATTTTGTAAACCAATTGAAATGTAAGCTAAAAGTAGAGATTTGGAAGGGAGATGGTCTGCATGTCTTGACAGCTCCTCCTGAATGCCAATGATTGTTAAACAAAACCCCAGTGCCAGGGGTGAGACACTTATGAATGGTTGGTCAGGGACACCTCAGATTCCTCAAAAAAAAAATACTCTTACTACTTTTCTAAATTGCCCACCAGAACTAGTTGGTAAGACCCTATTGATTAAGACACCACACTAGTTTGCCAAGAAATAAAGAAGTCAAGCCAGAACTGAGATGGATGCTTCCTCCCTATTGGTTAGCTTTCATGGTGCTGAAACGTGCTGTTGGGGAAGAATGGGCATCAGTAGTCACCCCCAGATGTAAAGTCTATGAACTACAATTCTGACCTTCCAGGTGAGATGTACCCAATGGTACAAGAGTGGTACAACTGTTATGGGGGTAACCACTTTCCCCCCTTTTAGATCTGAGGTCCAATTGACAAGAAGGAATTCATCCTTGGTGCTGTAAACTTTTTTTTTTAAAAAAAAATCTAAAGCTGAAGAAGCCTTAGGCCCTGAAGGCAAACTACTACTACAGTGGTAGTTTGTAGTAGATGTGGTTATCTAATTGTAGAAAGTGGAGGCATGAGGTAACTTGGTAAGAGCAATGTCCTTTGGTTAAAAAAAAAAAAAGTCACAAATACAGGAGATGAAGGAACTCAGAGAATGGGACAAATGGGTTATAACAATTGCTCAAATGTGCTTTCAGTGTTCTTAAGTAGCTAAATGCTCTATACATAGCTACGGGGAAAATAAGTTGTTTATCCCCCAAATGAACTGAGACCTACATCTCTGTCTACCATTACCTTCCTTTCCTGGCCCCCCTAGTGTCCATGGTGCTACTGGCCACAGCAATTGGAGGGCAGTCCTTGTTTTCAGCTATGTACCCACTGGCCAGACTACCAGGGTCTGTCAGCTCCATACAGATCATCCTGAAAAACTCAATGGGTCTCAAAAGAGATGTGAATATGGGAAGGGACTTGTGGGGTGACAGAGGCGGGAGGGGGATTGCAGCCATCAGGATGCACTTCACATACGTATGAAATTGTCAGATTCAGTAAGTCATATAAAACAAGATTACACTGAGTGGACACACATTTATATACCATTTCGTAAGCTGAAATGACTGACTTAAGTTGTGAGGAGATAGAATTTGACTGTCAAAATAGCTGTAGATGGTAAAAAGAGGGAATCACAGAGGTCTATAAATCTGTGTAGTGTGTAAGTCCTTGGCTAATCTCCTAGTAGGATGTGAGGGGAAAGTCTACACCAAGAATGAAAACACAGCAGTCAGTATTCATGTCTTCAGAATAGCCAAAGCCCAAGATTTGAGTCTTTCCAAGTTAGAGGTGTTAGTAAATTTTGACCTTTATATGGACCTAGACTAACAACAACAACAAACCAAGCCTAGAAACTCAGTGACCATCTAGTAACTTCATTGACCACTGTGCTTGTGGAATTATAAATAAATTATAGGTATCCAGGGCATTGATGGACATTTTTATAGATATTTAAAACGTCTTCATTCCTCGTTTCAAGACCAGTAGTCTAAAGTTGGGTGAGAAATGGCTTGAAGTAGAGTGGATAGAAAGAGCAGTTAGCCCTCAGTTTGGACTAAGAGCATGTTGAAAGGGCACAAAATATTACAAAATGTGAATTTATTTACGGATAAAATAAATATATTAAGCAAATTATTTAAAGTTTTTTATTCTTATAAATATGTTTACTCAATGGTTTAAATGACATAAATCACAATTTTAGAGTCAAACATTGCAGTTTTAATGTAACAAAAATGTAAAACCTTAAAAACCACACTTAAAACATATATTCAAATTTTTAAAATAAAGATCAAATTCTTTCAGATTTAAAAATCACAGATCATTTTAAAACAACCATTTCTTTTCCAAAATAGGAGTCTTTTTGAGAAATTAAGTTTTAAGCAGCTACATCTCTACTTGATAACAACGATCCCTGCTTCCTTGTAAATTAACAGGGCTGAAAACTTCAGCCGGCATTGTAGATTGTATTCACATAACAATCTGAAGCACTAATGATACACAGGAGATGGAAGATTGTCTGCTCTGGAAGAGCCAGTTAGTGTGTGCCTCATTTGTCTGATCTAGAAAAGTAGTTAAATTGTAATTCCACGGCAATTTTTTTTTCTAAAATGGTACAAAAGTGAAGGTAGGTTTAGTGTCCTTTCCCCACTCCTAAAAACAACTGTAACAACGAGCATGGGATTCTGCTAGGGCTGCCTATTCACTAACCTAAGCTCAAACAGCTCCTCTGTAATAGTGGACAAATAATCTCTGCTTAGTTACTGCATGGCAAGCAGTAACACTAGACAGCTGAGATACAGTGAGTGGGTGAAGCACCAACAGCAGTAGGCAGTTCATCTGAGACATAGTTATGGAACAAATGACTTTTGTTTCACATTTACCTTCACTTCGTGTAACTCGGGAAACCTCTTCAGTTCCAGTATAATAAGCACTTGCCTAGCAAGCTTTAAGTCCTATGTTTGATCCCCAGCACTGCATAAACTAGGCCTCGGGCAGCACACCTGTAATCCCAGCAGACCAGAGGTAGAGGCAAAAGAATCAGGAGTTCAAGGTCATTCCTGGCTACATTGCAAATTCCAGGCTAGCCTGGATTATGAGACCCTTCCTAAAAAACAAACAATAATAAAAAACAAGGGTGGATAATTATAAATCTTTGTGGTTCAAAACAATACAAAACTATAAAAAATTTAGACTAGTAAAAAAAAAAAGTTAAATTACAAGAACACTTCAAAATGTAGCACATTGTCATCACGTGGTAAATACTTCATTAACAATTTTTTACAGACAGTACTTTCCTACTTACCTACTTACAGGGAAAACACAAACACATTTTTTCACTGACAAAGAAATATAAATGTATGTAAGATAAATACTGTATTATTGGTACATTGAAATATTATATTGGCTTTGGCTAGGTTGTATAACTCAAATTTGTTAAAAAAATAGGGTAACAAGAACCAAAAGTCCACTTTAATTCAGAAACAAAATACATCAAAGACAGAATACTTCAAGATACTTGAAATTGACTTGCCAAAGAGTATCAGCTGCAATAAACACAGGTTTAAATGACAGGCTTTGAGACACCTGGCAAAGGTACTATGCTATATCCACTCACTCAAGTCTCTGAGGCTTGTATTTCCAGTAAATACAACACTCATTTGGGGAGCTCCATACCCCTGAAGAGACTAAGTAATTAAAAACAAAAAGTGGTTTTTTTTGTTTTGTTTTGTTTTTTGGGGTTGTGTGTGTGTGTGTGTGTGTGTGTGTGTGTGTGTGTGTGTGTGTGTAAATATATTTTTTGACCTCTGATTTACTTTAAAGCAATGTAGAATGCTTTCAAATAATTCTAAGAATTTATTATTATAAGAGCTGTTGTTCTAAGTTAAACACCAAGAATGTTTTTAACAATTTGCCTTGTAATGAAACCATTTAAGTATTTGTCATTTTATTTGTGTTCCTCTGAAAAACTTGACATTTTCAGAAACATGTAAGTTATCCAGTACCGTGCCACGAGAGGTCTGACTAGTACAGACCTCACTTCCTATTTTCTCTTAATTAACTTTGACCATGAGGCAGAACAGCAAAAGCTCACAACTTTATGTTCAATTACAAAAGGAAATAGACTTTGGAGAGTCACCAGGGATGCCTAATGTTCAGCTTCTTCACTGGTTAATAAGAAATCAGCATCTACATCATAGCCATGTGAGTGAGACAGCATAGAGATAGGTAGGTAGGCAGATAGACGATAGATAGATAGATAGATAGATAGATAGATAGATAGATAGATAGATAGATAGATAGATAAATAGATAGATAGATAGACAGACAGACACATCTCAACCAGTAAAACATCGATAGATAAAGACAACTACTGTAATTCTTCTTTTCATTCTTGCTCATCTTAAACAGTGGTACACACATGGCTCAAATAAACTGAACTGATCAAATTCTGAATGCAAGTTCAATGTAGTATTTAATATTACATTTTTGAAAAAAAAAAATACCCTAACTACTTTTGGTTTAACAGAGTCTAAGGAACAAAAAAATTACCACCAATCAGTATCTCATTTTAAAATAATATAACAATATTATCAGATTACCAAATTACCACAAAACTTACTTTAAAAATAACTTCCAAGCATTTAGTGCTGGATTCATGGGTATGTTAAAAAATGTCATCAGTATCTAATTTATATATTTCTCAACAATATATGGCCATCAAATTCAAACACATAAAAAGCACCCAAATAAAAGTAATTCTTTCCTTCCTAGAGCTAAAACAGCTGAACACCAGATGTTTCTAACTGGTTGAAATTTCATGATTAAAGTATCATAAATTGTCAAAACTTCTATTATAGTTATTGAGATGACTTGGTATTTAAAATAGTATTAAAATCATACCCTAGTGTAGGCAGTACATACACAACTAAATGTGCATGTCTGCACTGAACACTACTGAAATTAACACTCAGAAAACAGGCAGAAAAGGGGTGGGGGGTGTCTCATTGTAAAATGAGTTACTTCCTAAGATTAGGTTAGTAATAATAGTACTTTTCTAGGATATTTGCTTCCTTCTATGCTGAAAACTCCATTCAATATACATTTACCTGATATAGAACATATGGTGTGTTTATAAGTTTTATGGATATAGAGTAGGGCATGAATCCTCATTGAAATGGGCAAGACCCACATCAGATACTAACTAGAGTTCAGATATAACATTCTCATTTGTGATTAGGAAAAAACAACTGTCCTTCAGCAATTTGTCTTTTTTATTCTGGAACCAAAATCAAGTACATTTTTTCTACAATCTTATTTTTAATTTCCTCTAATGTAAAATATTGTATACATTACACTTGCTTTAACCATTTAAAGAAGTTCTAATTGCTTCAAAGATAATGATGATCTATACTCTTTTTATCTGAATACAGTTTTGAACTGGACCTAAAATATATGTTCACTCTTTAGGAATTCTACTTTAAAGCTGTGGATCCCTTCTCTTCTCTCCGGACAATTATGATGAACATAATGTCAAGTCAGTTAAGTTCACATTAGAAATATATCACATTCTAAGCTATTCACCAGAAATAAATTACATTTGTTTATAGCACGTATTTTATAACAGGATAAACACAGATAACTGTGAGAACAATAATTCCTCTTGCAATATTATGTACTAGGTGTAAAGAGCACTCTCCACATCATTTAGTGAGACACAGTCATAAAAGGGGTACCCATGGAAAGTATAAATGTGAGCAAAATATATTACACACAAACTAATATATCTGAAAATGAGAGTCTATGCCTACGGATTTTCACATAAAGTAGAACTGGTTAAACTGATTACTGAGACTAAAACAACTCAAGGTAAAGACTAAGAGACACTTTAAAATAATCAATAGGAAGAGGAGTGATAAGACTGCATGGCCCACAAGCCCTTCAGCGGGTGGTACATGTTTTCTACAATCACCTTTTAGAACTGTTAACTTAATCATGTGTGGGGGCAGTAAGGGTATGTGCAGGGGAGTACAGGTGACTGCAGAAGCCAGAGGACTAAAGACTCCTAGAGGTGGAATTCGAAATGGTTGTGTGCTGCCCTATATAGGGCTAGGAAGCACTCTGAGGTCCCCTGCAAGAGTGGTTTGTGCTTTCAACCACTGAGCCCCTTTATAGTCACTTATTAATCAATAAATTGAATTAAGTTTAATAAAAATACTTGACAATTCTTGAAAAATGTAAAACTTTTTCAGAAATACAGTATCTATAAAAGCAAGGCTCTTTCCAAGCGAAATGGTTTCCCAGAGATGAATCTGTGATTTTGAACAACCAAAGCAAAAGCTGCTGTGCAAAGCTTATTTCTCTCACATCCTCATTTAGTGACAAAGACTGAGAAAGTCACCAGCAAATGACCACCTTCCTGGCAACTGCCCAAGAAAATTTAACCGAGCATCTATCTACCTGATAAAAAGTATCAACATGCATCCATTTTTAAAATCATAGTGAAAAATAAATAGCACCTTTTAACTACGGCATTCCGTTCTGAAATGCCAAGTCCTACTTTCAATACTTTAGACAGTGGTGCAGAATACCCTCTTCTCTCCCTGTAGACCTCTACAATGTCCCCTAATTCAAGTGACTCAACACCTACAAGTGAAAGGGAGTAGGACCTCTAAAAGCAGTCTCTTTCCATCACATGGGACAAAGCGCTTCCTCCATCCCCTCGGTGTGCCTAGATATAAAAGGCCTGGCCTAAGAGCAGCAGACAGCAGCTGCTTTATTCAAGTGCACGTGTTTGCAATTTCACCTTCCTGGACTTAGTTCTCTATCATAATAAATCCATCATGAAAGCAGAAATGGAGTATGCTTTCTGATCTGATCACAACTCAATCACTGTTGTGATTGACTTCTAAGTATGAAGCAAAGCAATGGTCTGTGCTCACTGACCATTCTGGACGACATTTGTAACTTTTACCCAAGTAGTTTTTAAACCTGTATACTACACATTTAAAACTCAAGAAAACATAATCCAACAATAAAAGCAAAGTTTTTGGTCCCTTTGTGTGCGTGTGTATGTGTGTGTGTGTGTGTGTGTGTGTGTGTGTGTGTGTGTGTGTGTGTGTGTGTCTGCATGCATGCACACATGCACATGTATGCATGTGTAAAGCTCAGAAAGAAAAATGGGCTAAAAAGTAAGCTTTATTCACAGTCCTGGGTTTCCAGTCACAGCACACAACTAGCTGACAGTGTCTGTGAGGGAGTGACAACTGAATGAATAAACTTCCATTAATAAAACAAATTAATAAATTCATATTAATAAAAAGAATAAACAGTAAGCACAAAACCAACAGACAAAGAAAACCCCAGAGTCACACCCAATAGTGTTCCCTAAATTATACTCCCTAAATAAAGCTAAACCAACGACTTCTCACCTCTGAGTTCTTCTGGTTTGATTGGGTAAGAGGGACAAATGTAATTATAAGAATTCAGACATCTTTTTTGTTTGTTTTTGGCCTCTTAGCTAAAGACAAACTTTTACTTAAAAGATCTCAGCAACGACATCTCCTAAAAAGTTATTACATCCCCCTCCAGACACACACAAAATCATGTGTACCTGGAACCTGTGGATGGGATCCAACTTGAAGAAGTTTTACAGATATAACCAAGTCTTCAGGTAGTCACCCTGAATCAGACAGAGGCTCCCTAAACTCAAAGGTGTATTATCTGAACAAGAAAACAGTAGAGACAACCTTACGAAGACACAGGCAGCCTTGAGGGACCTGTGGAAATGTAAGGCCCCTACAAACAGTTGCTGGAGTGAGCTGAGCGGGGACTTCCATCTCCGGGATGAACTAGCTCTGGCCACACTTGGAATCTAGGTGCTGCACCTGTAAGTACGTGAGGAAAAGTTTTAAGCCACAGGTTTGTGGTCCATTTTGTACAGGATCTCTAGGTAACTAACAGAGCAATGTATTTTAGAAAGATTATCTGTAAAAGGTGTTGTTTTATCTTTGGCCTGTATAAACATCAAATCAGGAATTAGTTCAAATGGCTTCATCACTTCTGTATTTTAAATTTAAAAAACTGATTCCTAAGTATCCCAAAGCCTCGAGCTCATGATTTGCTGTCTGTAAATCCATTCTAGTTTAAGACTAGAGTTACATTTACTGCAATATCTGCCCACTTCACTCAAAAATACTACTGGATCATTTGTAAACAGTTTTCTTTTCATTTTTTTGATGTTCTTTACACAAGAAAAATCAGTCAATTGGTTCTAGTGCTGCGGAGCTCACCCAGGCCCCTCAATGCACACACACACACAGGAAAAGTCCCCACGCCTGAGAGAAGCTGGCAGTACCAGTACTCCTCAAGACAACTGTAAGCAACTTTATGACTACTATTCAGGCTTTTAGGCTGGTCTCAAACAATGCTTTTCACTCAACTTCCCTGAATTTACCTAAAAGGAATTCCATTTCTACTTACCCAGTTATTTGTTGTAGAAATAGTCTACTTTTAAAATTCAAAATATTCCTACTATTACCACATAAACCTTTGAATGTCCTGATTATTTGGCCACTGAAAAGTCTTGTTCAAAAAGATATAAAAAGTTAGAAAATTAACAACTGTATAGCAACCTAGTTCACAAACAAGTCTAGATATGGGAGGCAGAGGTATGTTAAGCCTATAAATAATGTAAGGTAAAATGAAGTAACGGAATTCTAGTAGTTTCTGAGGAACTGTAGAAGCGACCAAGCATACAAAAAACATTAAATTCCAGAAAATTGATTTTGATTTCAAAGAGTCAGCTATGGCCCAACCAGCAAACATGTAGGCTGGAACTAGTAAATATTTCACAATTTCATGTCTCTGAAATACTCTCTTCCACACGTAAAATGTGTAATGCCTATTGTCCGCCAGTAAATACTTATGGACATAAGTGAATTTCCAAACAAAAACCATTGAGACTAGCATAATCACAGAGAACTGAACTCTACGTTTCCAAATTAAGCTCAGGAAAGTCTTGACTTTTGTAGGAGAGAGTAAGTGAGGGAAGGAGAAAAAAGCAGTGAACAAGAAAAAGTAGAATAACTGAGGAAAATGAAGACAGGCTTCATGACTGCTCCGGTCACCAACCACAATCCCACCATTGACGACTACAAAAACAACAAACGCCAACACCAGAAGGACGTAGGGCCAGGTCAAAAGGAAAAGCACACTCAGGTTCTTAAACGACATGGAATACACCAGAAGAAACTGAAGAACTCTTCTGAGCTCCGAAAACGGTCCTTTAATGGGGGGAAGCCTCTCTTCCTTCTTCTTGTGCAGCTCAGTTTTCCAGGCCTCACTGAGTTTCTGTGCCACGATGTGTCCCGCACAGAAGGCAGCCCAGATGATGTTGGTCTGACGAAACATGAAGCCACAAAACCCAAGCAAGGCTGAAGTCCTATGATTGCCGTAAAGACACATCAAGTAAGCAAAGAGAGTGAAGAACACAGACCCAGGTTCTGTGTAATAAAGGAAGTTAAAGAAATAGAGGGTCGGAAATACTGCTAGCGTTAATGTTGACAAGATTCTCTGGATACTTGAAGAAGCCTTGAAGGAAAAAGAAAAAAAATATTTTTAGGGTAAAGCAAATACACCATTTCTGTAGAATTAATGAAGAGATGTATTTAAAGCTCACTCAAGTTAATTCAAATGAATCATATTTTTGGCTTTGCAACACCATGAATAAGAATACCTCTGGTAATTTCTAATTACATTAATCAGCTTGGAAACCATTAAGATACTAAGATGGTTAAACTCTTAAAAAAAAAAAAAAAAAACTTAAAATCTTTTGAATCACTGAGCAAAATTTAGGGGTCACTGGATACAAGATCCTGGACTAGGGTACATGGGATACAGAGGTGAAGAGAACACAGTAAAGACACATACAGCAATGCTACCTTGAACTTAGTTCTTAGTCAGTCTCACCCAACCCTGTAAGGATAGCCTTCAAATCTCTAGAGAAAACTGAAATGTGCAAATAGTATTAATCACCCTGCCCAGTTGTGGGAGCCCGTTCTGGGGTTCCTCGTGGCTTTACCCAGCAGGTCCGAATAGAGGATGATCAGGACCACGGGCCTGAGTGCAGGTGTCTGAGATGGTCTGCACTTGGCTGTGCTGGGGGAGGAGATCTTTTGCTCCACCCCTTGGCGTCTCTATAAAAACCCTGGGCCAGAGACAGTCGGGGCCCGTTGGAATAGGTTCCAGGCCCTCTCGAGGCTATCCTTTATTTTCTATCTGTTTATCTCCGCAAGATTCTCCGCTATAAATCCTTCTATCTAATATTTCCTGCTGCTCGCACTCAAGAAAACTCTGGGAAGCTGTGGGGGTGGTGGGTAAACGCCCCACACCCAGTAATCTTACCTTTTGTATAATGAAATTACAAGGATCTTTCCTAATAAATAAATAAATAATTTTAGGCCTGCTCTAAACTCAAATGTTTTCTTTTACCTTTTTTGACAATTTCAGAACACAACTGTTTGAATCTCTTTGAACTGTATCCTTCACTGTATCACATAAAATCAGACCATGCCAATCCTTTGATTAAATTCCTCCTCAGGCCAGGTGTGGTGATACATGTCTTTAATCTCAGAACTTAGAAAGTAGAGGCAGGTGGATCTCTATGAGTTCTAGGACAGTCAGACCTGCACAGAGAGTTTGAGGCCAGCCAGGGCTACATAGTGAGACCCTGTCTCAACAAATAGACAAAGCTCCACAAAAGCCAGTAAACTTGGAACATATATGCTACATCTTGTTCCTTCTGAAGATCTTTTGTATTGTAAACGGTTTTACACAAACTACTAAATAATGGAAACTGTGTAATTTACAATCATATAATTAAAACTATTAAAGGAAAAAACCCACAGGAAATCAAAGTCACAGGAAAACACATTCCTGGCTTCACTCCTGCTTCACATCACTGTAACTCATAACCTTATCATTTTAAACAGTAATTCCCTTTGCTGACACTGTTTCTATCCAGATTACCTTCTTATCTGTCAATTTTAACCCGCATTAGGTTCAACACAGGTGCCATTTATGAAGCCTTCGAAAAGCCATCCCTTCTCCCTTCATCCCACCAGGCTGCAACAGTATTTCTCTGCTCCTGTCACGTACCCTTAGCCCCTTTTCATAATTCATACTACTAAAGAGACCGTAGTAAACATCACTGTCACAGTTAACATTTATTAAAACCTTGTTAGGTACTAGCCTAAGCAATTTCCACTTATTAAGCTCCTTTACTCTTAATACAAATTCAATGAAGTAAAATTTATTATTACTATTGATATTTAATTTAAATTATTTCAAACAGATAAAGGCATAAAATCACAAAAGGGTAATTTGTTCACGTTAATATAAGTGGTGGCCAGGATTGAATTTAAACCCAGGCAATCTATCTCCAAGACTTGCATTATGAAATCACATCAAACTCCCTCAGCTAAAATTTATTTCCACTAAAGAGGATCAAATTTCCTTAAGAAAACATGAAATTATTAAAACGGTTTAGTTCCCTAACAAACACTTTAGATTTTCAAATAAAGTTATTCCCATATTTAAATATATATACCTTCAACATATAAGTAGAAAATATCCATTTAGCTTTAGAAAACATACACAAAAACTAACCGTTGGACATTTCCCTCTATATAAAACCAATTCATAATTGGGAACTTGACTGCACAGAAACTTGCAGGAACTTTATTCAGAACATACCTTGTTTCTGGGTTGCACCTTTCTGAAAAGCAAATACAGTAAGTAGAAGTTGCCAACACTGAAGAGCAGATTAACAAATCTGAGCATTCCAATGGAACAGACCACATGTTCAGACCATCCCAGGATCCAGCTGGCAGGTTTGACCACTCCAACTGACACCAGGTACAGGCCGGGCAACGTAGTAATCATGGGATCCCACTTAAAAAGAAAAGACCAACAGTGAAGCAGAAGCCATAAGGACCTCATTGATAAAATATGTCATAAATCAGTTTCCATTTGTTCCAATAATGAAGAATTTGGAGACGATATTCTATGACATTTATATAAGTCCTGGCAGAAGAGATGTCTTGAAGTTTTATTTTTAAGATTTAGTGCCCACATGTATTTTGTGACTAAACTGCACAGGCCCTAATTTTACAAGCCAAGCAAACAGTAGTTGGACTCTGGTGGATCTTAAGGATCCTGATGTATTTAGCAAGACTGCATTACAAGATTTCTAATCACAAAACCTGTCAGTTTACGACTTGGGTTTAGCGCTGTCTTACATATTACAATAATACATCCTGTATGCGAGGCTGTAATTACTATTATTTTGCAGGCTAGTGATCCTTCAAATGGCAAAGGTTATGAGCAACAGCACCAAGAAATCAGGCTTTTCTTCAACAGACTTTATATTTTGAAGCAGTGACCCATAGTGTGTTCATGAGAGAAGGAATGGTACGTTTATCTTCGCACTATGCATGTTTATGTAATCAAACATATATATTTTTTAAATGATGCAATCTGACTCGTTGCCAATATATCCAATGGGATACAGAGGTGAAGAGAACACAGTAAAGA